GATTTGGGGGATGAGCTCAGCTGGGTGTCATGGGTATCCCCGGAGCGAGGGGGCGGCAGCCAGGCTGCATCCCAGGAGGATGGAGGGGATGTGCTGGGAGGGTACCGCGCGACATCCTGCCCGTGCCAAAATCCAGGTCTCAGGAGCTCCCTTCTCCCTCCAGGGCAATACTACATCGACCCCAACCAGGGCAGCCCCCGGGACGCGCTGCTGGCCTTCTGCAACTTCACGGCGGGGGGAGAGACCTGCATAGCCCCCGTCCGCAACCAGGTATGGGGTGGCTTTCATGGGGCAGCTTCAGCCCCGTGTTACCCCTCGGGGTGGGTGAGGACAGGGGTTGGTGTGGCTGGAGAGGGACAGCGTGGCCGGTCCCTTGCCATGGTGACCGCCACCATCGCAGGGAGCTGTTGGAGCAGTTTTTGGGGGGTGAGGATCCTGGTCACCACCTAGGTTGGTATAGCTGGCTTCTTTGTCCTGGTGGTGCCGCTGTCCCCTGCTGGGACAGCGAGATATGGTCAGCGCTCCCCGCAGGTCCCCATCAAGGCTTGGCTGAGCGCCTACACCTCCGAGGACACCTTCGAATGGTTCAGTACCCTCCCTGGGGGCTTCCTGGTGAGTGCCTGGCCGGGACGGCTGAAGGAACCCAAAGCCCATCTCGTGGGGTTGGGGGTCTCCCGGTGCCCGTCCCACCGTGGTGGGGCGATGCCTGGGCACAGGGTGTTGCTGGCTGTGCACGGTGGGACACGACACCTCCTCCCTCTGCGAGAAAACCCAAACCAGTAGCAGAGGGCTGAATCCTGCCTGTTTTTCAAGGGGGGGGGGGAGCACAGGACCCCTCCACGCAGCCCCCGCTACCCGGTTTTCTCTCCCATTGCCCCCGCAGCTGGAGTACGCGGGGGCCAGCCCGGTGCAGCTCCGTTTCCTCCGCCTGCACAGCCGCTTGGTCGCCCAGAAAGTCTCCTCCTCCTGCAGACCAGCTCCTGAGCGGGGCCAGCCCCAGCCGGAGAAGGAAATCCGCTTCCTGGCCGATTCCCGGGAGCAGAGCTACGCGGCTAGCCTGCCAGGCTGCGTGGGAA